AATTTGCATTACTATACCTTTACTGGATTCCAAAACTTCATGAAAATCCTTACAAACAAAGATACATAGCGGGTTCCAGTAAATGTTCTACCAAGCCTCTTCCTTTACTTCTCACTAAAATATTTACTGTAATGAAGGAGAAACGTAAGGAGTACTGTGCAACAGTATTTCGAGAAGTGGTGTAAATCAGATATGAATACGTAAAAACTCCAAGGAACTTTTTGAAAATTTTAGATCACAAAACTTTATTAAAATCAATAACATCAAAACGTACGATTTTCAACACTTTATATCCAATCAATCCAATCCAAATTGTCATAGGTCATTTGCAACATTATTTTGTTAGAAAGTATTCTGATTGTACACATAAGTACTCTGAAGTTGATGTTAAAGCTGCTTGAGTTTCTCATTGACAATATCTATGTTGTTTTTGGAGATCAGGTGTTCCAACAATCATGGGAACCAAATGCGCCCCGTTATTAGCAGACCTATTTTTCCATTCAGATGAAGCAGAATTTATTTAAAAACAACTACATGAGAAGAAGAAAACACTTGCTGTGGCCTTCAACTCGACATTTCGATATATCGACGACGTATTATCAATTAAAAAATAGTTACTTCCATTCATGTGTCGACTCGATATATTCCAGTAAGCTTGAAATAAAAGATAAAACAGAGTCTGAAACATTCGTTTCATATTTGATATTTTACTTGAAAAAAACTTAAATGGTAACTTAGCAACAAAGCTTAATGATAAACGTGATGACTTCACCTTTACAATCTTCAACTTTCCTTACTTATGTAGCATTATACCCTTATCACCTGCAAATAGGTTTTATGTCTCTCAGTTGATTCGATACGCAAGAGCATACTCTACGTATGAACAATATCTGAAACGATGCAAGCTATTGACAAACAAGTTGATGAAACAAGGTAATCAACAGTCTTGTTTAAAGTCATCATTTTGCAAGTTTTAAGGTCGATACAATGACCTTGTCAGCACATACAGCCTATCATTTAGTCAAATGCTGACTGACTTTTTTCATACTAATTGTTAGGCTATTATTTATACAGTGAACTGTCTACGGACTTTTCCGGTTTTTTCCACGATCATGACAAGGAGCACACGGCGGGTGTGACCGGTCGGCAGGGGATGCTAACTCCTCCATGGCACCTAATCCCACCTCTAAATTTTGAGGTCCGTGTTTGCTCTGCTCCATGCAATTTTGTGTCGTTTCATTGGATTTTCGCGAATGAATAATCTTCGTTATCTTCATATTTCATGGGATAGTACCAGTTTTGATTAACTGGGGTTTTGTGTAGATAAATCTGAAAAAAACCTGAATTGATTTTAGCCTTCTGCACAAAAATCTGATGTTCCATTTTTTATTTGAAACCTCTGATTGATATATTGGTACTTTTACCAGTTTCCCCATTAAAACAGCTACATTACCAGACGTAAAACAACATACAATCAATCAATCGATACTCATCCGATTGAAGTGAAACCCTTTAAGAGTGAAAAGACACATTGTGTAAATTTGTGAAACCAAGATAATTTTGTACGCACATGCATGCACATGCACATGCAATGAGTGAAATTTGTCATGTATATTCATTGTAGCCTTAACTTTTATATTTTCTTTTGCAATACTTTGAAACTCAACGTATAAAGACATTTTGGAAGGTTAACAAGATGATATGGTCAAATTAACAGGAACTCAAGTGCAAGCACGTGCGCTCTGATTGGCTGAAACAAAAATATCAATATTTTCCTTGTCTTTTCACCAAATACTTTGAAATTTTAGATATAGTTATGTTTTATAAGGTTCTACGATTTGTTAGATGAGGAAATTCTTCAAAACACGCGCATGCACATGTGCTGCAATTTGATTAGCTGAAACTGTAAATATCTTTAACTTCCTTCGTTTTCAGAAAACAGGATGACATTTAGAATATAAATAAGTATAATGGGTTCCTATATTATAGTACTATGGTTGGCGGAGCCTGTTATGCGAAATTTAGCCAATGTTTCCCACTATCGTTGATATCCTGGAATCCCCATACAACTAGGCAGTGATTCCCTATATTTACATTTATATGTAAAAAAAGTATAAATATAAATCGCAAATGCTGTCTAATTTAATAGCATTGAAATGCATGAGGCATTCCATGTCAATTTCAATTGCCCAACCCAATGATGTCACATTTTACTATAAATTTTACAAAAAAATAGTGCGATATAAATGTGGAAATAAATTTAATAATTGTTTATTTTTGTTAATAATCCTTGACAAATATGAAAGAATAATTAAAAGTAGTATTTATTTTATAATCAATGTTATCTGATTTGCTCTGATGAAAGATGAAACCTGGATCTAGTCGGAATCGCATACATGTACATTCGCCGCAATTAGGCCTATATAATGTCAGAATCGACTTCGAGAAATGATGAAAAAACATGTGTTAAACAGTAGACAACTAGATGACAAAATAGCAGATGAAATGGAATATTCGTTGTCTACAAAATCAGATTACAAGTATGTTGGGCGATGTCTGCATTAGATAATAAGGTCAGAAAGTATGCGACGATTTCTCGGTTCTTGCTAACAGCCGAGATGGACTACAGCTTCAGGCTTTTCAGCAGACCTTCATCAAAGTTATGTAAATGTGTTTGAAGAAGCCAATATTTTGATTAAAATTCATGAAATTTATTGTATTATTCTTCATTTATTTATGTCCAATAAGATAAAACTCACCTGCTTATTTTCATAAACAAGTTGTTTTTTCCTTGAGTTTATTCATACACCATTCACTTACACTGATTGACAATTACGTAGCAGTTCAACTGAAAAATTTACATTCCGTCCGAATTTTTAAGAAATCGACCAGCTGGACTTTTAAAATGTTTATCATAGAGGAGACAGGTGAAAATGTAAATATTTTCAAATCAATGCATTTTAAATACAGTAAATATAATATAATTTATCCCATGTTTACCCCTTTATCCCGTGGATATGACTCATTGGACATTTTTTTTTTCATAACCCACAGTTAAGTGCAGTTGTGACGTCACAATGGTTTTTGCGTTAGCGTGATGAAGTAAAATAAAGTGGAGTCCTATATAAAACAGTGTAAAACATTGGTTGTGGTGTATTAAACATGGGATAAAAAGAATCTCCCATGATTTATAGTTGGATATGACTTTTATCCAACTCGTTGTGTGTTTTTATCCCCTCGCCAAGGCTCGGGGATAAAAAAAAACACACAACTCGTTGGATAAAAATCATATCCAACTACAAATCATGGGAGATCCTATATCTATATACCATAATAACAAAATATATATCCTGCTGCTGAGGCCACTTTCAGTAGTTTGAAAGAGGACCACTTGTTCATAATAACTATGTTCTTAATTTGCTAAATAAGCAGGGGCAGAGAAGAATATGATAAAAGAAATAAGAAACTTTCTGTATATAATTGATGGAGTTTAGAGAACTCATCACCCTGGTCATAAATTTCACAGTTTTCGAAGAGACACTCTTAATCGTCATGACAATGTACTTAAATTACATGCTAATTACCTAGGAACAGAGACAAATATTTTCAAAAATAAATCCATTCTCACTATGTTATCAAGAGGGTCCTGTCCTTATTGTAAAATCTTGACCCAGGGGCCATGAAATTCACAAGGTTTGAGAGAACCATGCTAAGTTGAAACCAGTAAACGTACTTTACCAAAACATTATCAACCATTATTATGCTTCCTGTCAGCTTGTCTCTATCTAATCAATACCAAACTATTATCGCATAGTGTTCAAAGGATTTATATAGCGTAAGCACACTATGCCGAAATAGTGCCCGGCTTCTTTTTATGAGGAAAATCCAACAGCGCCCACGCCGGGGATCGAACTGACGACTCCGAGATTGTCAGTCCGACATGCTACCGATTTAGCCACAGTCGCCGTTCTCTAAAACTCTGTATAATATATATAAACTTTGTTTTAAATATTTTACTCTTAAAGAAAACAAAATAAACAAACGATTTTTTCTAAATTTTTAAAGCGTTTTGAAGGTCTTAGTATTGCAATTGAAAAGGGAATAGAGGTGGTAGTGTCATGTGCGCTTATATATAATATAGCAGTAAGGAACTAACAAAATTAAGAAAATGTCACATGGCACTACCAACTGTACTCCCTTTTCAATTGCAATACTAAGACCTTAAATACGCTTTCATTTTATTTCGGGAATGTCTTCGCTTCATAAAAGTGAAAATAAACCAATTGAATGCAATATTTTGTGTTCTGACATAAATGCTTATTTTTTTTCAAAAAGTTACGCAATGTATAATTCGTTTGAAATTCCTTTTTCTTTCTGACTGTGCAGCTTCTCTCTGATACAGCTTACTGATGTTATGCAATTTGTGTTAAAAGCTTTGCATTTCCTGTACAAATCACAGCTTAATACTCTTCTTCAGTTTTCTTTTTTTTTAGTCATCGAAGAAATTATGTACTTTTCAATACGAAGCTGAACAAATGGCATAACAAAAAATTATTATATAATAAAAAAATGATCATAAGTTTAAGTGCTTTTTCCGACAGAGAAAATAGCATGAGGTCTTTTCTTTATTATGATGTATAAAAATTGGATAAAACCTTCAATAAAATGTAAGATTAACTTACTAAGAGATTTATGCTGATAGTAACTTAATCATCTAATTTTTTTTCCAAAATAAATTCTTTCGAAAGTATAAAGAAATGGTGTGCATGTATAAACATATCTATTAGTCATCTCTTTTTTTTTTTTTAGACCATAAACATTATGTATTAAACATAATGCGTTATCTATGATTAATTACTGGTAAAAAGTTAATTTTTTTTAAATTTTAAACATGAAATACAGTCCTTTTTGGACCAATTAATAATTGAAAACAAAATGTGATTAGTATTTTTGGTTACGCAAAAAGTAAATGGCTATATGCTAATTGCTTCTGTTTGGATTCAGCCAAGTTTTATTTCAACATTTTTTAATTCTTCCAATCGGTTTCGAATTTCTGAAATTTCTGAGCTCAGAGAAAGCAACTTTGACTCTTCTTCTTTGTACAAGTTAATCTTATTTCTGTTTATTCTAACACTCTCCGATAGAACATCGATTTCTCTTTTTAAATCTCCCTCAAGATAGCCCTTCAGGACATGTTGAAATCTTTCTGCATACGTGTCTTGTAATGTTTTTCTTATTATTTCATTTGTCATTTTGTTTATTCTAGCCTGGTAAGCATTTTTTGTGACGGTTTCAAAATTCTCAAGAACATTTAACGCAACTAGCCTAGTAATTACTAAACCAGTCACAATTCCGGTCGCTGCTACTGCTTGTGCAGCCTTAGGATTCACAGACATATACGTCTTTGCCATGCTCCCAGCTACATCTGTACTACTGGGAGCTATCAATGAAACAAGAAGTGGACCAAGTTTGTCTTCGACGTTAAAAGGGGACTTTAATCCTCTCATTTTGTTTTTAATCTTGTGCAAATATTCATGAAGTTCAATAAAGTTTTCTGTAAGGTTTTGTAGTATCTTCTTTTCAAACATCACTCCAACATTTTCTTCTTGCCAAGAAAGGGTTGCCTTTTCTATTCGATTATCCAGTTCTCGTCCAATCGTGAAGTGCGTAAATTTCTCCGTTCCTCGAAGAACAATGTTTTTGAAGTCTGTGCTGTGTATATACTGCTTAAGATCCTCTGCAGTTTCATCCAGAAATGTTTCAATACTGCTTTGGAGACTTGAGTATGCCTATAGCAGAAACAAACATTTTACAAATGCCCGTCAAGAATCTTCCCTTTGATTGATTGATTGTATGTTTCTTTGAAATTACTGATACCACAAAACAAAAAAAAAAAAAACAAAAAAAAAAAAAAAAAACAAAAAAAAAAAAACAAAAAAAACAAAACAAAACAAAACAAAAAAAAAAAAAAAAAAAAAAAAAAAACCCTTTAAAATGTTTTCTAAGCTCCATGAACCACAGCATTCACCTGACTCATTGGTCCTGATGTTTTTTTTGAGAAAATTCCTCAGTATCTTTTATTTAAATTTTCACCCCACATATTGATCTGGCCTAACCCCCACCCCCCCCCCCCCCCCTCCTCTGAGTATTTTTTTAAATTAATCTAAGGATGTTTTCATGTAAGTATGCTACAATAGTTCTTGAGATTTTTCTCTAGTTATTCCAATGCAATTTTATACATTCCCCCCCCCCCCCCCTCGGAAGGCATGATTCAAATCGTTTGATATTAACTTCCTATTATTATTACATTTATGTAATCAACGTAACTCGCTCTTCATGAGGGAATGCATCCTTAAACTTTCAGAAGTAGTCCCACGTAACATGTGCATTCCCTACTGTGGCCTTACTATATCCGATTGGCATTACTTGATTAGAATTGAATCTCGTTTACTGGTACCTTAAGATGCTTCAATTTAACCCCATCAGTACTATGGCTTTTTGGATATGCTTATAAAGATCTTAACTATATCTTCCAATGTAAAACTTTGATGTCCTGGTGCGACCGAAGGACACCCGGGCTTTTTTTTTTATTTTTTGAAAAAAAAAAAAAAATCTATTTGACACTTTCCAAGGATGCTTTTCATATCAGAATCAATATTCATAGCTGTTTTATTTTTGAGGAGGACATTACGTAATTCTTTATTTTTCTCTTATTTTTTTTTTTTTTTCTGTGAAACGTTGATCCAGTTTTGTGACATTCCTACTCCTGGTGACTATGAATTGGGGAAACTTAAATCTCACTACCTGGAGATAATTGCGTATTGATAGAAGTAATCATGATTTTACTGTTCTCAAAAATCATAATTTTTCCCACACATATTTAAATATGACCCCAACTTATCTCCACAAATAATGTTTGGAACAAACTTAGCTGAATTCAAAAATCCAAAATATTCTTGTGCGAATTTTTGTAAATTGGTCCAGTATTACCTCTGCAGTCATCATTTAAATTTGCACTACTTGCAAATGATTGCATATAAATATGCATAATCATTGCCTGGGAAATTTTGCTTCAAAAATAAACCCTGAGGAAACGTTCATATCAATTTGATTTATTATGCGAAGAGAATTTTTAAAGAATTATTCCTATATACATGTATTCCTACGATAAAGTTTAATTTCTTAATTTGATTCCGCCCTACGATGGGTGCAATAAATTGAAAATTTCTTTTTTCACGTTTATCAAGAAAGTCTACTCAAGGTTTGCGTATGAAAGTGAGTGATCCTCCCAAAATGCGTTTCGAGTCCCTATCACGACAAAAATAAGTAGATTTAAAAGATCTTTGTTAATCTAATGTTTTACAGGTCTTATGAAAATCATGTGAATTATGTGTTTTGAAGGCATTAATTATATTTATTTTGCTTGTGACGAAACTTGCCTTCTTTCTTTTATCATTGATAACTTGTAGATCTCTACAAAGCTTATCCAGGTCCTTTATTGTCTCTTCTGTACTTCGTCTAGCACATTTGAGCTTGATGGAAAGACATAATTCACAGTCATCAACAAAGGATTCTATAAATCTGAAACATCAATCATATAATACCCAGGTAACGATACTATTATATTGTTATGGGTTTTGATAGATGAAAGTTATTTGATTACTACTTGTCTCAATAAAGAAGAAAAAAAAAACATTTAAAGGAAGAGTTTCCTGTATTTCAATAACATGAGTTATTTTAATGTAAAACATAACATTTAATGACAATGATTTTTTATCATTATTATTTTTCGTCAGATGACAGATTATTTTAGTGTTATAATCTGTCTGATATTCCTTTCTAGTAGCTCAGAGAACCATATATATATTTTTTAGAATATATCATCTTAAAGGTGCTTGGACACAGATTTGAAGTTAATATTTTCTCAAATTTTCTGCATAATTTCACGACTTATATGTTGCTATAGCATTTCATACTAAAATATAATAAAAAATCTTATTTCATCTCGAAGTTATTGAAACTTCAAATTTCTGGACGCGTTTGATTGACACATCCTTGCACTTTCACAAATTTTAATTTTAGTCTTAATACTTAAGAAAAGTGGCAATTTTGTTGTGTATTAAAGAAAAATAGTAAAACTATACGCAGCTAGGTTAAGGACTCCCATATTTATACGTAAGCCTATGCAGAGGTTCGGGAAAGCTATTATGACGTTACGTTAAAACAGTTCAAATGAATCTCGATGAATAAATACTACATGTTCTCTTTAAAACACACTAAATACTTTCGTTTCTCATAAATGTTATAAAGATAAATGGATGTGCAACTTATTTTGCCATGGTAGCACTCAGCGTATGCAGAATGAAAGCCAGCTTGATCTCGCTGTACTTACTGAGATGACGTCATTTCTTAATTTGACACGCAGTTTCTCTGTATTTGAGGCGTGGATCAAGCTTTTATCGTAGCTTGTAAAAATAAAAATAAGTACGACATATGCGTAGTCGGACCAAAAGAGAGACATATTCTGAAATATATTAATCCATATTTTATTGTCGATCTAAATTGATAATGTGTAGACTTTAAATAAAGCCGTAGGGAGCACATTTTTACAGTAACGTGCTAGAATATCAGGTCCAGTCCCTCGAAAATATCGAAAGTTCAACGATATCCGCTTCACTATAAATTCTGACTTTTTAAACACTTGTAGCTATTATTCCTACTATTCTGAAAAGTGCTGGGAGCTGGCTGTACATTGTTTATTTATTCCGTAATCTATTATTATTCCAATGCGTATTACATTTTTGTCTGGAGTTTATAGAAAGACGGCTAAATTTTAAACTATTCTCGAGCATGAGGAAGTTGCTCCCAGCACTTTTCGGGTTAAGGAATTTGTCTCAAAGAAAACAAAATAAATTATATAGCGGAAAGATGCCCGCATATCGTTGAACTTTTACGATCTTTGTAGTAGTACATATATGGTCCAATTTTAAACCTGTCACGTGACAAACAGCTGATGTAAGCAATGTCACTTTGGCCGAACTCAGCAGAGACCCGATATACACAAATGCAAACACCACAATTCACATTTATCAAAACTACTGCTGTTAAAAAAAATATTAAAATTGAATTCATTTTCCCTGAATACATAAAGGCGTATATTTCATGGGAGTCCTTAACCTAGCTGCGTTATCCATAAAAATTCAGAGTAGAAATGTTCGAAAGCAAAACTCACAGTATTGTCAGTTCGTGCTCAATGGTGTGTGCAGACTTTAACAATTGAACACACCCGGTGAATCGTAAACATTAACAATAACAGAGCTCGTGCCCTGTTTACAAAAACAGTTTACGTTTCACGGGTGTATTCAATTTTTTAAACTCTGTACACGACACTGAGCACGGGCTGGCGATGTTAGTGAGGGGGTTTGCTTTCGCATATTTCTACTCTGAATTTTCTGGATTATAGATGTAATGTTTTTCATTAATACACAAAAAATAGCTTCTTTTCTTAAATATTGAGGATAAAGGTAAAATTTGTGAAAGTGCAAGGATGTGTTAATCAAACGCGTCCAGGATTTCGTAGTTCCAATAATTTCCAGATAAAATAAGTTTTTAATTATATTTTCGTGTGAAATGCTATTGCAATATATAAGTCGTGATATTATACAGAAAATTTGAGAAAATATTAACTTCAGATCTGTGTCCAAGCACCTTTAAAGTATAAGGAGGAATGTATATTTGTTATTGCTTGGATTTAAATAGATATTCTAATAAAAATCATATCTGCCGCGCATTAAACTCATAAGATATTTATATCAACTTGCCTACAAATAAGTATAATTTGCAAATTTTAATTTTGTAGCATACGAAACCTCCAAATTAAGGAATCTTCTTGCTATTTTTTAGAAGTTCTGTCAACACTTACTTACCTCAAGTGAACTGTTACTCTTTTGAATTCATTTCTGGTTATGACTTCTTTGAGAATTTCATGAAATGTTTCGAATTCTACAGTGTAGACTTCTTCTTTATGAACCTAGGCAAGTGTTGACAAAGATATGCAAGTACTTTCTTTGAGGCAGACAAAAGGCTGTCTCTAAACGCAAGCATTGATGTAAAGAGTTTTTTTTTTTCAAATTAGTGTTTTTTATGGATGTTATTGGAGAGGAATGCGTTGAAAAGAATATGTGTATGTTTGCTACGTTGTTTTATTTACTTCTAATTTTTTTTTACTCATGAGAAAGGTGAAGATAACGAACAATGACTGATCTAAAAAAAAAAACATTTTTAATACAGCTGATGACTCCTGGAAATTCTAAAGGTGGGATCAAGTGCCTAGTAGGAGTAAGTATCCCCTGTTGACCGGCCATTCCCACCATGAGCCCTATGTATATTTCACTAAACCTTTTCAAATTCAGTATTCAAACAAATGCCTAACAATTTGTATGAAACACATCAGCTAAAATACGACTCAATGATATGTTAGGTCTGCTTACAAGGTCATTATAACGACCACAGAATTTATAAAAAGTTGACATTAAACGACGTTGTTGAGATCCCTGTAAAATCCACATCTGTGTCAGTAACCTACCTCTGTTTAGAAATTGATCGTACTTGGTGCATGCTCTTGAGTATCGAGTGATTTGGGAGATGAAAAAAATATACACAAGTGATGAAAGTTGGATACTACTACATCAATTAGGAAAGTTGACGATAGAAAAATAAAGTCATCTTGTTCGCCAGACAATTTAGTTTTTGTTTGCTTTTATCATCTATTGTCAGTAAAACTTCCAAATATTAAACAGATGTTACAGACTCTGTTGTGTCTTTTATTTCAATGTTATATATTGATTCGACATATGAATGGAAGTAGCTCTTGTTAATTTATAATACGTTGAAGATATATCTCAATGCCGAGATGAAGGCCAAATATACAGGTATGATACGTCATGAGATGCTAGGAAAGGGCATCACATTAAGCCTTTTTCTCTGCATTCAGGACCATTGTTTAGCATAACGCTTACGATGATGACACTAGGCCTTGCACTTTATTATCTAATCCAGATGACCTGCAACTTCTATTTCAGGAGGAACGAGCACTTTGTGAAAAATCATTGCTACCTATATTTTATCGACTTAAGTTTGCTGCGGGCTGGGGTGTGGACTCACGACCTCTTACAGAGCCAGTATTTTACCTTTTGAACTTGGCCTTGGAAAGATAAGGTTGATTTATTTTCTTAATGCAGACGTAAACCGTGTAACATTCAATGTTAACATATTCATGTGATGTGAGTGCAATTACAAGGTACATATTGTACAATACCGACCAGATACAACCTAACAGAAAGCGGACCCCAACCGAACCCTGGGTTCGCTTTCCGTGTTCGCTTTGGGTCCGCTAGGGATGACCCCAAGCGAACCCAGAGCGCACTCAAGGCGAACCTGGAGCGAACCCAGAGAGAACGCCGATTGCGAACCCAGATTTCAGAAGCGCACCCAGAAAGCGCACCCGGTGTTCGGTATTACGTAACAGAACTGTCAATCAAGTTAACGCGTTGACCAAATACATGTGATAATAATCTTTATTGCCCAAGACATACATCTAATAGCATTAAGTAAATATAACCAAAATCAAAAGTAGTTTGTGTGGCATGGTAAAATAAACATGTCGTATATAATGTAAGATTGTAACAAACTTTAGTAATACACAGTTTCGCCATATATATTAGACACAAAATGATTTTTTGACACTTTCATGTACTTCAAAAGCATGTTGGAGATTAATAACTAAATTGCACAGCTCCTTTAATTTTTTTTTACACTGAGCAGCTGTATTAACTAAAAAGAACTGAAGGTTTTTTCCAGTAATATTTCTTAATGTATCGACATCTTATATCACTAAATTGAGGACATTTTAAAATAAAATTAAATTCATCCTCAATACCTAAGTGGCACATTTCGCAATATCTATTATTTGCTGGAATGTTATTGTGACGACCATATTCAATAGCTAGGTTATGGGATGACGTATATTACTTATTGCTTCTTATATTTCGTTGGAATAGCTTTAATTGTTAGGTAATATTGGAGAGAGAAATTATCAATGATGTGCTTAAAAGTTTTGCATCTTGATGAGCAATTTATTTGCTTGAAGCTTATCTGAATAAAAATATCTACAATTCTGTGTTTAATGATAGGGAAATAAGTTTTCAACTGAATACTTTCCTGAAGATACCACAAATCGCCTAGCCCATTTTCAAACAATTTTTCCTTTTTATTTGTTACCCAACTATTTATATTTTTTGTTCTTTTCACATTCCTCAATTAGCCTTTTATAACAGTTGAAGAAAATACAATCTTCACTTTTTAACACCTTGAACCAGAATTTGATAATTCTAAGTAATCTTACTACCTTCAATTGGAATCTCCCAGTTTCACAATAAATCATTACAGAGTATGTATTTCTTCTTTCACCTTGCACATATTTTAAATATTGCAAATGCACACTTTCTATATCTTTTACATTATGAAACCCCCAAATTTCACATCCATGATTTAAAACACTAGTAACATAAGTGTCAAAAGTGGCCCATCGACCAAACAGCATGCCTGTTGGTATTTGAAATCAATCATAACATTTGTATACGTTCAGTTGTAAGAGTATACGCATTGCGTATTTAGATACTATATATATATATATATATATATATATATATATATATATATATATATATATATATATATATATATATATATATATATATATATATATATATATATATATATATATATATATATATATATATATATATACTTTTATTAATGTAATTGATTTTTATAAACTATTTCTTTTATTTTGATATTTCCCATTCATGTTTATTACAACTCGATTTTTTTTCTTAAAGAGACATAAACAATGTTTTGTATATACACGTACGTTAATTCGGAAAAAGATACTGAAATTAATTAACATTTGTAATTCGTTTTTATTTGTCTAATCTTTACAAAAATACATAACATATATAAGGAGCAGAGCATATGTTTGCATAACGTTAAAGTCTATGTTTTCTACGTCTTGACGTTTTTTTTTCCTAAATTGCCTCAATTAATCTTTTACTTAAATAAACATTGATTGTTTGAAAGAATTTCAATGACATGCCATCAATTATCTATATCATGAACCTGTTGAAGTGTTATTTGGTGATGCAAAGGTATAATTCAAGGTTCCGTGTTGTTTTTATAACTGACACCTGCTTGAAGGATATATCCCGATACCATAGCCACGGTGCAATTAAGAAGTATAAACTCCCCGTACAATCAAAACAATCAAATCAGACTTTAAAAAAAGAATTCACAAGATAGTCTGTACATTCCCTTGGACGTCAGTCATCATTAATTTTATCTTGATTTATTCATTATAAATGTGTGTGCATTTAACACAAAAAATTATTTAGAACTCTGTTTGCTCGTGCACTGGTAATAAATTAAACCAGCGATGATATTCCCCGTTATTATTTAAAGATGTTCTTTTTCATCGGGGGGGGGGGGGGGGGGGTATTAAACTGTGTTGTTTTGTTTTAAACAACTTTTCATCAGATGGAAAGCAAAAAAAAAGGTAAATAAATTATCAGTTATTTGCATAACTCGCAAAATGACGCTTGGAATTAATGAAAACATGTACATGATTGTGATCTGAGGTCTGAAATATATATACATGCAAATGAACAATCGTTATGTACACAGTCTGCTTCAAGACAAAATTATTATAAAATGCATTTGGGGGGAGGGTCTGTTTCATTTTAAAATCGTTTTAGGTAATGCATGTTTGCAATTCGAATTTTAAACTTACAAAGATTCAATGTTGATAAATAATTGATTGTCGGCCGAGACATCGCATTTTCCATTTTAAGGGAATATTATTAAGAGTATAAAGGGAATAATATTAAGAAACAAAGTATGTCTTGACCAAAGTCGATGCAAAAGAATTGAATGTGTATACATACATGTATGCATGTCATGGATTTCCTTTCCGGAAAAATCTTCGAACCTATCCATAAATGAACTGTACAATCATACATGTATGTCATTAATTAGTCTTCTGCCTATTTTTTAAAGCGATTTATAGATTGATTAACAAAAAAAAAATTGAAAAGATATTGATAATTTGTTAATGCGCGTGATTTTTGTTTTCTTGTTCTCAGTCTTTATATATATATATATATATATATATATATATATATATATATATATATATATATATATATATATATATATATATATATATATATATCGATTTAGTTCAACACGTGTACACGTAAACCCCTACTCAACTTATAAATCCTCTTCCCGAATTATTCTCGGTCTGTGAAAATAATGCGTAATAGAATATAGTGTGATATTCTGGTCCTTTTATTAATGTCCCCCTATTGTCGCTTGCAGGGTCATACGTGTTTCCGATCGACACTAAACAACATTGAACATTTGGAATATGTAAGGGGCGGAGCTAACACACAGTAAAATAAAACGGGATCCGCTTCACGCTTGAGTGAAAGCGAACGCCGGGTTCGCTCTGGCGTACCCAGAGCTGACCCTGAGCGAACGCACAGCTAACCCAGGGCGCAGCCAAAGCACACCAAGATTTTTAAATAGCGGACCCCGAGCGAACACAAAGTAAACCTGGGGTTCGCTTGTTGGGCTCTGGTGTTAGGCTGTGTCTGGTTGGTACTGTCACCTGATGTATATAGTAAGCGTCTTTGACTCTTGGAGATACATCAATCAATACTAAAGTGTTTAAGATTAAAGAAAAAATGACTGATAAAGTATTTTAATTGTTAAACAAAAGTTAACACTCCAATTATGCTTAATACACTGTATATTGTGCTGATATATTGACTTTCTCCCACACCCCTGGTTCTCTGTAAAATGAATTATACGTCATATTTTCTTTCAAATTGGAATTCACTGATTTGATTCAAATCAGAAAAAGGTAAAAAGGTGTCACAAAGTTATAAATGTACATACATGTACATATATTTCTTTACCTTAGCCGAGGCAAATTTCAGAATATTAGTATCTTTCACATCCTCCCACATCTCATGAACTTTTTCTTTCAGATCTTCGTAGAGATCTTTCTTTCGCTTTCTTTTCGGTGGAATAACTGTATCCCACTTGTTGAGCAGGAAGATTGCATCTTGAGGATCGAAACTGTACATTCGACTCATCGATTGCCTCACATGTTTGATAATATGTGGAAGCTATAAATTGTTCAAATGAATATTAATACGTGTGATTGATGTATTTGAAATAATGTAAAAATTGCATATCAGGGAAAGGAAAGGCATATTTGATTATTCATCGATTCCTGTGATTGCTTTGCTTTGTTAAAAATGTGTTCAAGTTGTCGTAGATATCTTCCTAAAAAATAGAACAAAATATATTGAAATGAAAAAGAAACGCAGGGTAACTTAATATGCGCAATATTATTGACTGAGTGGCTGAAAATTATGAAAATTGGTCCGAGGTGTATCTTGGTAACTGTGCACCAAAATCGGTGTTCAAAATTACTCAATCGTGATATCACGAAGGAAAAGTGGCAAAAAGCCAAAACACACGTGCATATTGATGTATTGGAGGTTTATCATTGTTTACAGTTGATATGAAATTCATTTACTCCTGGTACGGCTGAAGGAAGTTCCACTGGGTCTAGTACTTGATACGCCCAAGTGAAGAAAAAGGCAACAACATGATACATTGCAGTTTGTTATTAATTTTCCATTATAGAACATTTTATCCATTGTAAGAGAGGAACAGGAATGGTTTCCAACCAACCGTGACGGTGACGTTAGATCGTATTAACATCAGCTGGAGATAGGGCTTTTCATCCTACCGCCTGTGTATTCGATACGATATTACCACTAGAACCGATACTTATATAGTAAGCTATCATAAGCATTGCATTTACTCTAAAACTGAAAAAAAAAAAATCCATCGCTCTATTGTAGAAGGCTCGGGAAATTTACGTCGTTGATGCCCTCACTCGCACATGTGTGCATCGTAAGCTAATTATTCAGCATGCTCACACCCACGAAAATGTGTCCGAGTTTGTCAAGACTTTCTCGTAAATATTTACATTTACCAAATCAAATGGCCATCGTCCTTTTCTCTAATCGAATGTCTGTGGGACTAACTGAACACTTGGGTTTGAAGGCATCGGTATAGCCCAGCTTATCTCGACCAACTAGGGGCTGCCCTGTCGGAAGTGTTAGATAAATATCCTTATGGAAAAGATAAATGAACTGATGAAGTCTATGCTGAGAGGAATTAAAGTTTTGATAGACGAAGGAGATATTGAGAATTTTTATTTTCATTTTTGGGGAGTACCGTCATATGAATTTCAATTACTCATGAATTATCGGTCAAAATCAAATGATATTTTGGAAAGTTGTTGATTAAAGATGAGTTTAATTTTTAGATAATAGAATTAGAAATACCTTCGAACAAACAGCATTATGTTTACCCTGCATTTCTTTTTCCTTTCAGTATATTTATTGAAATAGAATGATTAATTAAAGAGTACCCTGTCATCCTGAAATCCACCTGCTGCAGCAACGTTTACAACAAATATAAAAGCAACTGCATTTGGTAGATAATCCAGCATCTTATTCGCCACATCATGTCGTCCTGTGTCTCCCTTTCCAGGTGTATCAACTATTATAATGTTACCCTTATTAAATAGAAGCTTAAAATAAAGTATCACATTCGTCAAAATGATCCTTAATTTCGAGATTTTTAACAATGTGGCATACCGTTGATGTAAAAATGAATTATTTTTCATTTTCTAGAAAATTGGAATTTTCAGAACAAATGAGGCTTTTACACAGGCATGTTTGTAGACATTTCTAGGGAATATGAACTGGTAATAAAGTTTGTAGTCATCAAAGCACTTAAACAGATTCGTTTTAGAAACATAGCAGTGGAACGTATATTGTATTTATTTGATGATTACTTGTGAAAATGCATAAAATTCTCATCCCATTTTTAAAATAAAGAATAAATACTTGCAGTCTACCTTCAATATTGGTACCGGAAACCAAATATCTATATATTCTATTTGTTGGTCACAAGTTCTAGCTACATCTTCCAACATCTCACTCAATTCTTCTTCATCATTAAATTCTGATAGAACTAAAACGTTCCCGTCTTTACCAAGCACTGATACTTTTCTTTTGTCTGAATACCTGATTCTACACACTCTTGTTGTCGTTGCCATGGTATCCGTTGGCACAATATCCTCACCGATTATTAGATTTATGAGGGTTGATTTTCCAGAGCTCGTTTCCCCTTAAAATTAGAAAAAAAGAGTCAAAGAAACAAAACGTCATTAAATTATATGTCAATAGTATGAAATGAATTGTGTAATAAAAACAATGTCTATAAAGCTCTAACAATACAATTACCAGCAACTACAATTGCACAATCTGTCATCATGAGGTCATTCTTTCTCAATTCTAACTGTTCATTAATATCGTCCATTTTGTGCAAATCGTGTCTAATATGACGTTCAAAGGCTGGTCGATGAATTAATGTCTGTATAGATTTATACAATTCGGCTATATCTTCCTGAACACAATCGTAGCTGCTGGTATTCCTGAAATCAAAATTAAAAAAAAAAACAAACAAACTTCATAATTAGATGATGTCGCGGACAAGCGCAGGAAAAAAAAATCCAATACTGACAAACAAATGACATGGTTTTTTCCATGTCGATAGTACTAAATTTTAATGATAATAATTTTGCAATTATATTTCTTATACTTAAATAGGTTCAAATTGCAAAATCCTGCACTAATTATAACATAAGCAGTCAGAGAAGTGGGTACTGGAATTTACTAATATTATTTTCTTCACACGAATGTCTTTTTTACAGGAATGTGTAACTGTAATTTAAGTACAGTTCTTTGTAAAAATCATGCAAAATAGGCATGTAGGTGATATATGAGGGTTCTCAGAATTTGATGATTTTCCACACATAGTTTTCTTTTGCCCTATGAACCATGTATGCAAAAGGAAAATTGTTTCGATTCACGGTTACCATGGAAACATGGGTAAAGAAATTTCCCTAGCAACCAGCCAATTTTCAGCTTCGATGGACTAAAAAATCTCTTATTTTTCAGGCTCAAATTAAATGTAAATACTAAAAGAATTTCTTTTTCATTGCTGTTATTCTCAAGATAATGATTTAAACAGTTTTCACAATCAAAAATATAGAAATAAGATTTAAAGATATATCTGTGATAGATGTGGGAATATATGCATGTTTTTCCTTTTTTGCTGACTCAGCATTTTCCTTGATTTTGGAAATATTCAATGCCCAATTACTCCAGTGATGGACCTCATACAGACATCCTGTGTATATAACATAAAAGCAGAGGAGTTTGTCTTTTAGAATTTGAATTCAAAAGCGTATAATTTTTAAACATTCCTATCCGTTGCCTAGCAACAAAAATGGATGTTTTGATGAATAAAGAGAGAAAAAATGTAAAATGCTAAAGTCATAAATCACATAATTTGTTATCTTTGAATACTCAAAACAAATTTTACAATAAATTGAAATTTTTGAGACCTCTCTACAAACTATGGAATGTTTTACATTTTGTAATCTCCATGGTAACAGCAATTTTCCCTTAGCAACACATCATAGAATACTAATTTTAGCATGTTCACGTACCTGTTGTTAAGGATTCTTCAAAGTGTGCTGTAAAATTGTGATTAGGCAAATTTTACAATGCAATTAGCATCTTATAAAATTATATTTTTCACTTGATTTTGCCATGGCAATGATTCTGAGCACATAGCAACCAATGTAACCTATGTAGAGTTAAGAGTCATTTTCTGTAGGAATTTCAATTGTTTTGATACACAGAATCAAGATTACAGGACATTGTTATGTAAAATCATTGCTGGTACAAATATACATAAATATATACATTTGCAATCAAGATTTAAAAATTCAAACTAAGAATGTTACCATGGTAACGGGTATAAACATTTTTAGCTCACCTGAGCCGAAGGTTCAAGTGACTTTTCTGATCGAAATTTTTCTGTTGTCTGCCGTCGTTGTCGTCGTCGTTGTAAACGTTTCACAATTTCATCTTTTTCTCCAGAATTACTGAACCAATTTCAACCAAACTTGGCACAGAGTATCCTTGGGTAAAGAGGATTCAAGTTTGTTCAAGTGAAGGGCAACGCTCTCTTCCAAGGGGAGATAATTGCAAATTATTGAAAAGTTATGGCATCTTTTATAAAAATCTTCTTCTCAAGAACCACTGGGCCAGGAAAGATGAAACTCATCTCAGGTGGTGTAGATTCAATTTTGTTTAAATCATGATCCCCGGAAGTAGAGTGGGGCCACAATGGACGATAAAAGTTTTACATAGAAATATATAAAGGAAAAATCTTCTCAAGAACAGCAAAGCCATAATTGGTTATTAATTATTAGGAAGTATCCTAAGGTAGTGTAGATTCATATTTGATAAGAATCATAACTCCCTGGGGATATGTAAGGGTCACAATTGATGATTAAAGTTATGCATAGGAATACATAGGACATTTTTTAAAAAAAAAATCTTGTTCTCAAGAAGAGCAAAGCTATGATTAGTCATATTTATATGGAAGCATCCTCAGATAGTGTAGATTCAGATTTGTTCAAATCATGACCCTCGGGGATAGGGTTGGACCATAATGAAAGTCCAAAGTTGTAGTGAAAAAAGTCACAATTAGTCAAAGAAATATGAAAGCATCTTAGTTAGTGTAGATTCAATTTTGTTCAAATCATATCCCCCTTTTTTTAAGGGGTAGGTTGGGACCACTTATGCATTAAAGCTTTTCAATACTGAACTGAATTTTGCTTTTTTCCTAGCCACTGTGCTCAGGTGAGCGATGTGGCCCATGGGCCTCTTGTTGTTTATATCACTTCAGTTTATTTCTTCATTTTCATTCAGAGCTCATTGATAGAAGCACAGGTTTTCAATTATTATTTCTTGAATGAAATAATTTCATTTTTTTTAATTAAAGTATTTTATAAAATGAATGTTCGCATTTTGGCGTAGTAAATTTTCCGCACTCTTTCCTATGCTTGTACCGGAAAGTGAATCTGATGTGGGACTTCCGTGGGGGTAAATCCTACTCTAGAGTCATTTTTCCGTGGGGAAATTCTTACTCTAGAGTCTATTTTCCGGGGGGAAATCCTACTCTTGAGCCAATTTTCCGGGGGGGGGGGAGATTTTAGAGGGGAAACCCCACTCTACAAGACCGGTAGATAATGAGCTGATTTTTGGTATGTCTCTTGATATTGTTGACTTACAAATCAGGCTCTGTCAAATTGCCGTCTGTCTGTCCGTCTGTAAACTTTTTCAACATTTTTTTTTTGACATCTTCTCAAGAACTACTGGGCAAATATCAACCAAATAGCAACGAAGTGTTCCTTAGTTAAGGGAATTCAAGTTTGTCCAGTTGAGGGGCCAAGCCTTCTTCCAATGGGAAATAATTACGAATTTAGTGAAAAATTATTGACATCTTTTAAAAATCTTCTTCCGAAGAGCCAATGGGTCAGAAAATATTAATCATATATGGAAACATTCACTGATAGTGTAGATTCAAGTTTGTAAAAAAATGACTTCTGGAAGTAGGGGGAGATTAAAGTTTGTTCGAATCATAACCCCCAAGGGAAGAGTGGGGCTACAATAGGCGATCAAAGTCTAACATAGGAATACACAGGGTTTTCTTTTAATCTTCTTTTCAAGAACAGTATAGTCATGTTTAGTCATTTATTTGGAAGCATTCTCAGATAGTGTAGATAAGTTTGTTCAAATCATGACCGGAGAGGGGGGGGGGGGGGAGGAGAAATTTTGGCCACATTAGGCAATGAATTTTCTTACATAGGAATTCATAAGTATATGGGAAATATATTTAAAAATCTTCTTCTCAAGGACAACAAATCCATTAATTATTCATACAGAAGCTGCAGATTCAAGTTCGTTCAAATCATAACACTTAGGGGTAGTGTGGAGCCACAACAATGATCAAAGTTATACAAAGGAATACGTAAAGGCATGCTTATAGATAAGGAGTTTATATATGAAATGAAGCTTACAGCTAAGTGATCTGTGAGTTAAGAAAATATTTGGTCCTGTACTTTATCAAATGAGTTGAAATGGTGTATATTCACGATGTTTTCCGAGCGAATATACACAATTTAAACGACATGGATAAAGCAAATACCACGTCACACAATTATAGATGTTTTATTAATCGCACAATTACAGATTTTTTAGTTATCTCATAAGATTTTCTTTTTTCACAAAAAATTGAGATAATCCCAGTAAAATGATGTTAATTGATTTCTATCCAAATCGACGACACGTTAATTGATGACGTCGCACTGTAAACGTTGAAATGCTGAAAGAAAGTTTTTTTTTAATCTATTCAAAATATGAAATCTTGGAATGATGTTTGCTGCGTCTTTTAAAACATACTTGACAATTTGTTGAAGATTCATTTTATACAAGCTTTTGATTTTGAAGTTGTACACGTTGTAAAGACCGAGGAATCATTAAATGTAATCCTACTCTGAAATCATTCTGTATATTGTGACAGTGCTAGGCCAGTTATTTGTAGAATCATGGTAAGTTATATAGTATAAGAAAGTATTGATGAAAGTGGCTAGATTTTCCTGAATGGTAAAATGAATCATGCAACACCATCTTCACTGATAGACCTAATGTTTCCCGTGAGAACGTGGTGGTGGTGTAGGGAGTGGGGTTGAAATTCATATTTACAGTAGTCAGTTAAAAATAATGAAATTTCGTTGAGGTAAAACGAAAGCTTTCTTGCTTTTTAACAAAATGTTTGCTCATTATCATTTATGTTAAAACGCAAGAACTTTCAAAAATAAAATTTTCGAAAATCTTACGTCTTGAAGCATGGGATTGTGTCAAAACCGGAAGTGCTATTCACATGTATAAAGCATACGCAATGATAAAACATAACTTTATCTTATGGGTAGTATCCACCACAAGTATGAGATTAAACGTAATTAGTTTTTTTCTCACAAGTGTGGTGGATACTACCAATAAGATAAACTTAAAATGTATTAAAATTGTCTATCCCTGGTACTTCGATATAAGCATGTTTTACTACACGTATATAGAAAAGTTTAGAAACAGCAAAGCCATGATTTATGTTTGTCCAAAGCAAATGTCCCCGGGCTAAGGGTGAGGACCACGATAGAAGATCAAATGTATAGGGAAAATCTTGTAAACCTATGATTAGGTAAATA